AAAAAATCCATCCGGTTCGAAGGACCAGATGTAGCAGTGGAGAACAGCGGAAGACTTCTCACCTCAATTTACCAACGCTCGTTGCTCATCTTCCTCGCCCACGATGGCGTTCTAGTAGTGCATGCAGGGACTAATTGTTTGGAACCGTAATAGATTTTGGTTTCTTCTCACAATCACTTAGTTTATTTTAAAACAGTTGCACCGAACATTTATTCACACGACATTAACATTAAAAGTAACTTTTTATTCTTAAAACACTACATTGAACTTAATAAACTAGTTACAAAACAAGCAATGTATGTACCGGGTTAGTGACCGGTCTCGACGAGATGGTGAAGCAACACTGGTCGGTCAATCTCCCTCGTTGTAGATCGTCGCCTCATCTAGTAGGTAGCCATCGATCGGTGCTCATATCTCCCGCTCTCATGCAAATGCCCCTAGGAATGAGTTTCTCGAGAGTATCCCCACGCGAATGTATTGCGATCAACGGCTAAGCTGTGGTTGATTCTCCCACTCGGTAGTAGGAATGTGTGTAGTCGGTACAATCAAACTGATAACGAACTGAACCAAGTGTTGCGTCGATCATGCAGTGGTATTCTGAAGCAATTTGCATCTCGCATGCAAACACCCCGTTCACATTACAGCGTATATCACGTGATATACGGTGTCTTGCAATGAGCACTCATACATCTAGTTTTCACTGGAAATCCTATGTATGAGTGCTCATTGCAAGACAGCCTATATAACGTGATATAGACTGTAATGTGAACGGTGTATAAATCCGGGAGTTAGAAGGTGTCAGCTCTATCACAACTCCAAATGCTCATTCAAGAACGCAAGCATTCCGAAGCTATTTTCACCCCGCTCCAATACATTTCAATGTGAGAATCATTAATCAAGCTGTATTGCTTGATTGACCCGTATTTAATGAGTTGGACATTTTTGTAGTATCACTAGTACTAGTAAATTAAGAATTAAAATATTATAAAGGACAAAATGGAACGAACTCACCAAATCTGGACAAGTAAACCCCCAACAAGTTGGCCATTTTTTTTTTCCTTTGGTTTGTTTTTTCCGTCGATCTTGTTTTCCGTGCTGAGCACCAATGCTACCGACGTGCCACGAAGGCAGCTCCCACACCCGGACCCTACCTATCGACCCATCAACGCATGAACCGGGGACCAACGGCTTTACTTCCCTTCCGAAGGAAGGCGTGATCAGAGATGTTATGCCTCAGAACATCCCGGCGGCGCCGACTGGGATTGAACCCAGGCCTGCTGGGGTGAGAGGTACCACGCTTACCACTACACTACCGGCGCCGTTAACAAGTTGGCCTGATGTGTTAGAGATGGAAGCCGCAATTGTAGACGGTTCGCTTCACGGGGTAATCCGGTTTGTGGTAGAGCTTGCACGGAATGTCCCGAATGTAGTCTTGAAACACTTCTTGGCCGTCCGACACAATCCGCACACTGTAGAACTCGATTCAGGAAATTCAAGTATCCGTTCGTCACCAATATCACTTTACTGTTGAAAAAACAAAAATCCGGTACAACGCAAAATCAAAACATTTGACGGTAGGAATTTTTTTCGCTTCCATCTACAAGCACAGCACTCTTCGATCTTTCCACTCGTGAGAGGATCATGGTGTCGGAAATAACAAAAGTCGACAGGAATCTGACCTGGGCCCAGATTAATACCCCGTTCACATTACAGCCTATATCACGTAATATAGCTTGCCTTGAGCACTCATGCATAGGATTTCCAGTGACAACTAGATGTATGAGTGCTCATTGCAAGACAGCGTATATCACGTGATATAAGCCATAGTCTGTACGGGGTATAACGCTCTACGGAGTTCCTAGAATTTCTACGAAATTTCCTAAATTTTTTCGATGATTCCTGAACTTTTCTGAAGTTTTCTGAATTTTTTTGACGTGCACTGAAACTCTATGACTTTCTTGAAGTTTTACAAAGTTCCCTGATGGTAGAGAAACACCCCTGTACTTCAAAAAAATGCCCCATTTTTTTTAAAAAATCGTAAAATTTCTCTAAAATTTTCTATATTTTCACAAAGATTGTTGAAGTCCTGCAATATTAATTGAAAATAATTCTAAATTCGCTTAACTTTTGCGAAGTCCACTCAATGAAGTTCGCTTAGCTTTTGTAAAGTTAGCTGAACTCAATCAAAGTTTGCTTAAAATTCATCAAAGTGTGCTGAACTTCTTAAACATTTGCAGAACTGTTTCAAAGTTTGCTGAACTTTTTCAGAATTTGCTGCACTTCTAGAATGTGTCCTGAACTTCAACGTAGTTACCTGAACTTCTGTGGAGCTCTCTTTCGCAGAAGAAGAGATGAACTAGCCTCAGGCTAAAAATCTCTAAAATAAAGACAAAAAAAAAAAAAAAAAAAAAAATCTTTCGCAGAAGTTTTACGTAGTTTTCTGAAGATTTACGAGGTTCCTTGAAGATTATCAACGTTCCCTAGTCTTTAAGGATTTTCCCTGAATTCAAAAGATTCTGTTTTGCCTCTCAGTTCTATTAATCAGCAATATTGATCACAGACGCAACCATCTGTGGGTCACCGTCGAGGCTTGTTTTCATATCCGTACACTTGGGAAAGGCAGCCGATCGTCGAGAAAATAATCGATTTGAAGTACATTAGCATTAACGTGAGCAAAATCTGTTCCAGATGTTTGTAAAGATCTTTTTTTAACGGGAAGCTGCTTACCGGAAAAAAAAAATGCTGATATGTTTTGATTTTTCTAAAATTATTGGGAAAATATACTTATGAGTAAAAACATTTTTTCTCTCAAAATCACAAAGTCAAAGGTAGTATTAACAGAACCTAATGGTCGAGTTTTGTGGCTATTTAAGTCCGAATTTTTACCTTGATGTCATAGAAAAAATGGTTCTGCCAGTGAATGTTCTTTAGAATCAGATAACTTTTTTTTTTAATTTTTTTAGGGTCATCCACAAATTATGTATGGATTTTTTTTTGTGATTATTAAACCTTCCATCCTCACTTTGTAAGACACTGTAAAATTACCAATTACCTCCCCTCCTCCATGTTATCGAAACTTTCAAAAATCCTTAAAAAATTGAGTTAGGAACGTATAAATCAATAAGATTATCATGTGCTCATTTTATGTATCAAGCAGGGCTGGTAAATGTCATTTTCAATGAAAGATCTCACGCGATATTTACAGAGAAACTTCTGTCACCATCATCGAATGAGAAAACGATGATAGAGATTTTCTTCAAAATATCATCGAATATTTTGTCATGACAGAACGTGACAGTGTTGTGATAATTGTAATTACGAGCTCATTTATTGCTATTAAAGTTACTTTTACCGAGGAAATATTAAGAATATATTCACTCTACCGATTACATATGGTTGCTTGCTTAAATTCATCTATAGCAGTTAAAAATGTTGATGTCAAAACTGCACATAAATTATTCTCATGAGTGTTTGATCTTTGATCATTGGAAAATGACAAGAAAGCAAATGATAGGTAGTTTCGTCTCGCGATAGTGTCACATGACGGCCGTGATATTTACTAGCTCTGATCAAGAGCAAATTTTCATTATGTCGAAAGTAACATTCGCACCGATCCGGGAAAAATAAAGATTTGTTTTGATTACCGAAAAGTTATTCCTATTTCCAATCAAACTCATAGTGATAGCAATGTTTAGCATATTAAGCAGCGTTTTAATCATACAAAGCAGATCGCTAGCTTTCATGCTAAAAAATACTAGTTTTTGGGTGAAAAGTTATTTTACGTCGTTTGGTGGCCCCTAGTGTTATTTAAGTCAAAGTTTATTTACCAGGATATTCGTGAGAATTATCAATTACGTATCCTTATGTGCAGCCCATTGATCATTTTAGGACCACCAAAATCACTTTAGCAACAAACAGTTTAATTTATTCACTTTAATAATGAGAAATCGACACGAGGAACGTACACTTTTCACAGTTTTCTCTGGGTAAAAAGGTAAATGAATCATTAAACAATGACGATGTTCCTTAATAACTAAAAAAATCTCCTTAAAATAGATCGGGTTGCTCCTTAAATGATTGATCAAAATACGTTAAAAATCTTAAAATGCTCAGTAAATAATTAAAGTACGCTCCCTAAAATAGAGAAAACTGTACATTAAGCATTTGAAAATGCTCCTTAGCATGCATCGCTTTGCACCATTTTGAAGTGTAATTGTACCATATATCATCGGAACAGATGCTGTAGAAAGGTTAATAAGTACCATGAAATCAGCTGAAATGTTCAGTAAATCATTGTGTGCATTTGTGCATTTTTACTGAACATTTCAGCTGATTTCATTTCACGTTTCTCCCGAATTCCTTGAAAATAGTATTTTTTTTTTTTTTATTATAGTCACTTTAACACTCTTGGGTCATTCGTGACTTGTCCGGGGGTGAGATTTGAACTCGTGACTTTGGCGTGAGAGGTATGGATGTTAACCACTACGCCGGGGTCACCCCCCTTGAAAATAGTATTTTTGGTTTCGCATAAAAATGTATTTTTTTTCTGGAAGCCCCCAAAAATTTCTTGTGGCTTCTCTTAGAAAATTCTTCTGACGTCACCTAGAGCATTCTTCCGATTTTCTTTGAGACGTTTCTGCAAACTTCCTCCTCATCTTGGAAACAAGAGTTATCTATCTTCGGGGAAAGTCCTTATATTTTTCACCCAAAAATAATTCTAAAATTATTTGCCAAGAATGTCGCATTTAGCATATCATCGTTTTGCAACGTTACATTGTATTCGTTTGAGCAATCTGAGCACGGATATGACTGATAAATCTTTAATATAAATCATGTGTGTGCTAATATCCACAACGAATCTCATGAGAACTACACATTTAAGAACCTTATACGATTAATGAATTAATTATGAGCAGAATTAATGGGGCGACTACACATTTCCAATTTATTAGCCAACACAAGAAATTCATTCGTTACGAATCCTTTTCTCAAATATTCAGACATCAACGAGTGCCTGCTGCGGAATGGTCACGGCCCCTGTCAGGACACGTGCATCAATCAGTGGGCCACTTACAATTGCAGTTGTGATGGACTTCCCGGGACTCGTCTATCGGCAGATGGCCACGGCTGTGAAGATGCCGGTGAGTGTCCCAAAGCCGGCTGCTCCCATCAGTGCCTCAGTACTATGGGCCGAACGTATTGCCTGTGTCCAAAGGGATTTGCCCTCGGAGACGATTGGAAAACGTGTCAAGGTATGATGGGGATTTCGGTGCATCTGACACTGGAAAGAACTAGGTATTTTCATGCCACTTCTGCCATTCTGCTGCTTGCTGCCGCGCTACTCAAAACTAATTCTCCATTCCATGATGAATATTCACCAGTTTTACAAGTTTCACTTAAGCATCGAACGAATGAGCGCTTGTTGACTTGCTCACCGGAACATCGACACCGATTGTGCGACGAGCTCCGGCGGAAAATCTGCATCGAAACTACATTTCAAAGTCATAAATTATTCATCCTCAAACATTCTTCCGTTCGTGCTTTTGTTATGCAAACACCACGCGGCTCCTCTTCTAGTCATAAATATAGCTTACGCTGCTCCTAAAACTGACTGCATTTCGCCCGACTGTGGCTGGTACTGTATACACAATTTCATGCGCTGAAAAGTCCATCAAACAAATGGCAATAGAAAAAAAAAATAGTTTCCGCCATTCATCGCTAAACGCCGAAGAGAGCTTTCCGGGTTAGAAAAAAATGCTAGGTACCTTTCATCAAATCATCACGGTGAGCCAGAGGCTTGGAGCGGGTTTGAAAATTAAAAACAGACGACCGACCGAGACTGCAGCCGGCCAGGCACCACCGATCAGGCTTTTCTGTGATGCGCGTGTTAAATACGGATCATCCTTGATGCAGTTTATCTTCTATGCTGTCGGTTATCTATCTAGCTGGATGTGGTGCGTGGTGCAGTGGGTTTGCTCTCCGCGGTCTGTTGTGCATTCATAGTGAGATATTTGCTGCTGCTATTAGTTTGAAAATATTTTTTACTATTCTATTCGCTGTTCAATTGGCTTTACGAGATAGACAGATAGAATGATATGGGATTTTGAAGAGCCAGTTTTGGCTCGGTATCACTAAAAGCTCAATGACGTATTTTTATTGCTATGCAAAGGCTGGTAGATTGAGCTGTTCAATTTGCGTGGATTCACTCACCATTCACTACAAGTGGTAGTATTGTTTTCTACATTTACTTGTTATAACTGATATCTGGATTGAGGGCTTTAGTCAGAATGCCAGAATGCCACTAAGTCGAAAGATATTAGACAGAGTTTTGAAACTTTGAGGAACACAATCGCAATGATTTTTGTCGGTGTAAAAATATGTAAGACAGAGCACCCGAGAATTTACCTATGCCTGCTATCATGTATCTCGAGACTTAAAGCTTGAAAACTGCTGTTACAATTTGCATACTATCATGTTATCTACCAACTCTGTAAAAAGAATGGGTCCATTTAAAATGATTTTATTGCATTTTGAGCTAGTTTCATGTTTAGAGATATCCCAATGAGTAATTTATTTTACAGTATTTGTCCTACGATGTGTTTGCCCTTGTAATATAATAATATACACGTTGCGCCATATTGTTCCTAGCACTATTCTCGACATTTCTTTCAAACACATTTTGATGTGTGTTTCACAGATTAATTGATAAAAATCTAAAAGGAGGTTGTAATCCGCTACATAATTCAGTCAGGAAGAGTGGCAATCAGATTAACAAAGCAAAGTAGCATGGCTCTCCACTGAAGACAGATGATGTAATTATTTGACTGATAGATAAAAATAGCTCATTGCACCTTAGTCTGGAATAAGATGGTGGTTGTTAGATAACATATTTAGCTTTAGTATGCAAGTTGTTACAGCAATTTTTTTGCTTTCAGAGATACAAATATTATAAGACAGCAATTACCCGAAAATTACAAAAATGACTTGAAGCACCTCTAAGTAATCACTGATTTTGAGGAAAACTTAACATGAGGAACAATAATTTCGTTTGACCGGTTGGACCGCGGTTATTTTTCATGGTGAGATAAAAAACATAATTGTGCATGTAATTTTTTTTAGTTAATATGGAAAAACCTGATTTTCTAGGATTTTGATGTTTTTTTTCCCAATATTTAAACATCATTGTGATGGTGATGACGGTTTCAAATAATTCCAACACTAGAATCAATGTGAATAACACTTAAATTATGTTTTCACTTATTCAAAAACGATTGATGCGACTGCAGAAATGTTGATATTTACGCTTTTATGACTTTGCATTTTGGGTGGTGCATAAAATCAATTTTGCTCCACCCTGCTCAATCTATTCTAAATCAGGTCCTGCACGCAAACCAAAAATCTGTTACAATGAATGTTAGTTCCATTTCCTATCATCCTCTGTTCATGAACATCGCAGCGAATGTAAGAAGTTGACCTGGCGATGTAATGGTTTTTTGCCTTTTTATTTCGTGTTCTGTCTGTGCTTTCACCTACACAAGCAAGCATTTGCCTTGATTTTTATGTATAACATGGTAGAACGACGCACACTCTTGCCTCGAATCTCTCCAGCAGAAAAAGCATACGAAGCCGAGTGTGAGAGGAAATGAGCGATTCTTGTTTGCTTTTAGGCTATCCTTATTCAGAAGCATGGAGAGAGTAGTGGAGAAAGCACAGGTCTGATAATCGCAACGTTCGTTGTTCGAGTCCAGTCCGCAACATTTTTCCTATTTTTTTTCGACATTATTAATTTACCTCACTAATACACCCTACATTTTTCGGTCTCCAATTTTCTTGCATTGGACCGCAGCTAGGTATATCGCATCCTCGGTTCATGCGGTCTCTACTTACATCCTCTGATGATGAATCCCACATAATTGTAAGCGAATCTTGTTGTCAAAATCGGACGCCCAATGTAAGCTTATGCTTATTATCAGTCAAAAACTATTATTTGATTTATTAAAAATAGATCCATTGGTTAACTGTTCCCTTATAAAGCTTCATACATATATCTGCATAATAACCAGCATTCCAAAGTTAATGAACTCGGGTGGAAAACTTTCTCGCCAAGCTCCGTAGGACTTCTTTTGTACCCGAAAACTTTTGCGTTTCCACAGCAGCAACGAATCTTTTCATCCTCCGCTGCTCTTTTGACCATATTTCTAAAAAGACCACAAACACTCCTATGCTTATATATGCTGCCATTCACTGCAGGCACCGAACTCACCACCAACAGCCGGGACTCAACAGTGAACGGTTGGAGGATGATCCCATCCTACTACTCAGGAATGGAAAAAGTTTTTCATCTGCTCGATAGCTTTCCCTCTCTGGCATAAACATGTGCTCCTTTCAATAAATATCAACTTTGGCGAATATTTCATACGTAAAATTATAAATACAATCATTGTGTGGCGCCCCCTGCTTGCGTTTATTATGCTTCATCTTATGTTTTTTATTCGGGAGGAAAAGCCGCGCATTCCGGCAGTTCATGGTTGCGTTGTGGTGGTGGTAAGATGCTATATAGAGAGCTAGTATACTAACCAGAAGTTGAGCATATTTTCATGCTCGACTTAACGTCGAAGGCAAAGTCGAAGTTTTACCACAAAACTGCATCAAACTACGGCAGTGCTTTGTGGATGAAGTGGAACAACTCGTTTCAAAAGAATACTTTCCCCGAAGGGCATTAAAAATGCATGCAAGATTGAGGATTATGTTTTGGTGAGAAGAGGTGGGGGATGTGGTAAGGGTGTACATTTTTGTATGCATTAATCCAGTTTTGCTATTAGGGAAGTTTTCAATATTTGAAAACTATTCCCTCATGAGAGAGGAATCATCCGGTGGTTCTGAATATTCATATCATCCATTGCTTTGCACTTTTCCTGCTTGAAACTATGATAGCTTCCTTCTTTCCATCAATAATACAGTTCTTTCTTATATTACCAACAAAGAGAAACTCCTATCGCTTCGTAACATTGTGATGAGCATTTGGAATTCGAGCTGTTCTGTGTTAATCTCCTATTCATGAAACAATCCGGCTCATTCGAACAGATATCAACAAGTGCGAAGACCCTGCTATCGCCGAGAACTGCCCTGATGGATGCGAAAATCTACACGGTTCGTATCGATGCCATCATCTGGAACCCAGTTCCACTGAGGCAACCCACACTCCAGATGAAAATGAAGAAGATGAAGACCAAGAGGAGCATGAGGAAGACCAAGTTGGTAGACCTACCTCGACATCCACAACTACAACGGAAATCCCTGAAATAAAGAACGGTGATTTCCTCCCCTCAGGCGAAGATAACGATGATGACGATGGCGATGATGACCAATTGGAAAACGAGCTAGACTCTCATTCACCACAAATACCGGAAATCGATCGATCAAAGATTGATGAATACGACGACGCCGACGCCGATGTCGATGGTGATGATGACGAAGAGCAGCCGGACAGTAATAGGCGACAAAATGAAGTGGAAATTCATCATCCCCATCGGCACCATCACGGGGAGGAAACACTGCCGGAGGAAAGTGAAACCGAACAGCCAGAAGTGGAAGAGCCCCTTATGACTCAAGTTTCCACATCGACGACGACGACCACGGAATCCTCCTCACCAAGTGGTGGAGAGGATGAAGACAACGGCGACGACGATGACGACGCTGACGACGATGCTGATGACTATCTAGAACCAAATACAGCGACACCTGTCATACCGACGACGACTAGCACTGCTCCGAGCACGACGACAACGGTTCCTCGCCATTGCAGGGAAGGACTCAGATTAAGTTCTCTGGGGGAATGCGAAGGTCAGTATGAGCTTTAATGGTATCTTATTGTTTGTTGTTTCTATATCATCAACCACGTGCAACTTGCTGCTGCATGGTAGTCTTTCTAATTTGGTTTCAAACAGGCATCGTTTCTACCAATTGATGGTAGCTAAGAACATCAATTATTATATGCAAAAATTTGAGATTGCAAAAATGCATTGTCTTGTAGATCCTACTATGCAGACAAAACTGTAGATGGTAAATTACAAATCAAATCGCAAAAACCTACCTTTGTTCAGTTGGAGAGCAAAGTATCACTGAATGAATCGTTTCTTCATTCAAGACACTTCACATTTTTGCGAGAAAAAAAAATCAACTGTAACTAGCCGAAGGTGTCAGAAAGCCATTGAATGTTCGCGTTTTGGCTAATTGAATTTTGCACAACAATACAAACTCGCACATTGTCCTCGACACTTCGCTTGCTGCCCCAAAACAAATGGAAGCAGACTGAACAACCTGAGTTCGCGGCAGCTTTCATTCTAACAGTGTTGGCTTTCATCCCGGATTGAATTTCGAATTCCTGCTCCCGGTCGTTCTCTTTGGAGAAATGCTGCCATAGGCACATGCATAGGCGTAGCCAGATGAGGGCAGGAGGGGGCGACTACCCTTAGGGACTCAGCAACACAAAGGCTTTCGGGGAAATGGCGTTCGGTGAAATGGCATTCGGCCAAATTTTCCATAGTAAATTTTTTTCGCCCCTCCCTAGCTCGAAACCTGGCTACGTCCTTGGGGCACATGGCACAGCATCTAAACTGATACAGCGAGTCTTCTTCTGGTGATGGTGCTTTGGTTCGCACATATTCACGGTGACATTTATCAGACTGGAAACATGCATTCAGGAAACCGACTACACTGTAGGAACGGTTTAAGTAACGTTGTTGCGATACGGGAAGCTGCAAACATACCAGCTACTACGACCGACGCCAACCGCCAAGCATGTTAATTGTTGTTGTAATTTGTAACTTTCGTTGCGATTGCAGGTTCGATGGTGGGATTTTATGAATGCGTGTGAGAGTGTGAACGTGGGCTTGTAGAAGATACAAGGGTTGTTTCTGCTGTTTCCAGTCAGACGTTTTCGGTTATATCGTTATTTGCTGGTGGCAAAGTGTGTGGGAAGCCTGCTCTAGTGGAAAGCGGAAGTGTTTTGTGCAATGTTGAACAGATCTGCATTCTGAAAATTAATGCCGGCATGGTATCTCATGGGGCCTCAGGTAGTCGGTAATGGCACGGTATTACTAAACCGGAGGTGGCGGGTTCGATTCTCGGTCCTGTCGAGGAAATTCTTCGGGTTGGAAATTGTCTCGACTTCAGAGAACATTGTGATTAACAAGCTCTCAATTGATAATATAGTGCATCTAGAATAATAAGTTTAGAGCCGGCATAACGCTCGCTACAGAAGCATAAAAAGCCTAGAAAAAGAAGATGGTATCTCTGGTGAAGAGGATTATCACACTTATGATTCTGGTTTGGAAAATTGGCATTCGTGTCGGGTTGTTTTGCTACGGCTTTAGTTAGGTTCGCTACACATAATAGTAAGTAATGATTTATGATTTCATATTTTATGAATATCATTGGACTGATGTACATTGTAGAATACGATTTTCCACCTTAGTTTGTTGTTCATTGAAAAATCTTTAACTGGATTTTCAGTTGACTGGATTTTCAGTTAATTCAAAAACATTGAAAATGTGGTAAATGTGTGTTGATCTTTATGAGTCTTAAGCCTTCAACTTATTTATAATCGATTGTAGCCAGTTTCATTGATATGTGTAGTCAGTCTTGGCAATTCAGATTAAGGCCAATGCATAGCTGTCCAGAATGATAATTTAGCAGGTAAAATGCATTTAGAGCCTGGAATTGATACTTTAGAAAAAAAAAAGTTTCTTGTACTTAGTTATTCATTACAGTTAAGCCCTCATTTTAATGTCAATTAAAGATAACTTTTAAAACTTATAAAGACGTAATGCACTTAAAAGACTTGTAGATATCTTTTGCGATCAAGAGTTATTGACGTTTGTCTTATGACAATACGACCATTTCAAATATTCATATCTCTAGTTGGGCCAAACACTTGAAATGTCTTTAGACGACACTTGAACAGGCATATCAGCCATTCCATAGCAAAACGATATAGTGGTTCTCATAATTTCGTTAAAACTGGTAGTTTTGTTCCTTATAGCAAAATCTTAGGACCGTGTTTTTTTTTTAATTTTATAATTAATTTGACCATTTCCATGTTTTAGCAATAAGAGATAAAAATATATATTTGCTTAATATAATCGATACCCATTGCCGGCCCGTTTTCACCATAATGGAGAGTGCGACACCAACTGATGAGATAATCGTTCTGGGTGACTTCAATCTACCCGGTGTTTCCTGGAAACCATCTTACAGCGGCTTTCTCTACCCAGACCCTGTACACTCTGTATTTCATACAGGATCAGTTAGCCTTCTCGACTGCTATAGTACAGCAACACTATCTCAAATAAACCACGTAGTCAACGAAAACAACCTCTGCTTCGTTAGCGTTCAGGACACCGCTCCTTTCATCTCCACGGCACCTTCTCCACTAGTAAAGCAAGTACATCATCACCCTCCCTTGTTTGTCACTGTTGCTGACAATCACGATCGGGTCTTTGACGACATTTCCACGACCGTGTCATACGATTTCCGGAAAGCCGATCACCGTAGTATCGTCAACGTGCTATCTAGTATAGATTGGGAGAGCATCCTCGATCCTGATAATGTTGAAACCGCTGCGCACAAAAAGGGCAGCAAACGGGATGTGGACAATTATCGTGGAATTACGTCGTTGAGTGCAGTTTCGAAGTTATTCGAGTTAGTCATCATGGAGCCTCTACTCTCTCATTGTAAGCAGTATCTAAGTGGTGATCAACACGGCTTCACTTCCGGTCGTTCTACTTCCACAAATCTGCTGTGTTTGACATCGTATCTTACGGAAAGCATGGCAGAGAGGACTCAAACAGACGTCATATACACCGACTTGTCAGCTGCTTTCGATAAGCTAAACCATGCCATCGCGATTGCCAAGTTGCATAGACTTGGGGTCAGCGGCAACCTCTTGCGAGACACCTCTAGGGCCCTGTTCGTTGCGGACACTTTACAAGGTAGAATTGATTGCAGTGCAATCGTGGGGCAAGTCAACATTAACGTCCAACCCCGTGCGCTACGTAACAACGTTATGCTGAGATTGCCACTTCAGCGCACAAACTATGGCATGAACGGTGCAATAGGTGGGCTGCAACGAGTGTTCAATCGAGTCTCGGGCATCTTCGATTTCCATATGCCTCGACAACTGCTACAAAGATACTTCTCATCGTTCTTTTCTGGCACAGTTAACCGTGAATGATTGTGTGTTTTATTTATGTATTTTATTCTTAGTTTTTATTTTTTGATTTACCTATTATATAAGTTACTTAAATCATCATTGGGGCTATACACAGCCTGTTATGTTATGTAAAATAATTATTATTTTCATTGCAAAATATCAACTTTTTTATCTATATAAATTTATATTCATTATTTCATATGTTTTGATATATTTAATTTTTTATTTTCATGTTAATGTTTTGATATATTTCATTTCTCCATTACATATATTTTCAATATATAAATAAATACTGGGTTGGGCGGGAGCATCAGGGTATCATTTGACCTGGGACTGGACGATGGAGTGGTATGACAACCGGAGTCTAGGAGGGAATAAACACTATAATTTTCTTTACCCTACCGATTCGATTGTGGTGGTGTTAATTCTACTTCAACAGTTTCAGTGAGATTGACGCGCCCTTCTTTACAAACCATCCTGTAGGAAGCTTAATAAGTATTGCGAATTGTGTTATTCGATTTGTTGGATCGTATCGTTGGAAGGAGATTCTTAAATTCCCGTGGATTTCGTGTAAGTGTCTTTGCTTACGGGTCCGCACCTCCGTTTTTGGCCCTTCATACAGCGATATTGTGAATTCAGATCGGTAGCTCAAATTGATCTTGCTATTAAGTGGAACTGCATACAAGACAAGATCTTTGAAGGAATGGTGGCTACCTTACATACATACATACATACATACAATTTGACCATTTCCATGTTATTTTGGTCCAAAACTTCATAACTTTAAAACCACTGAGCCGATTTCAAAGATCAAAATATTTAATTAATTAATTTATTTATTTATTTAATAAGTCATCTGACAAAGTTGTCTTAATGAATAAACTATTAGTCTTAAATAAGGTTCAGTCTTCTGACTCTCTCTTACAAATTGAGGACTCGACGGATACAAACATACGAACCATTGCACAAATAGGCAGGTTGTAGCCATAGAGAGTACGATGAAAGCATGGTTGCATCAGGGATTGCTGACGTAACATCCTACCTGAAGCTCGGAAATCAAGCAGTGACAGAAGATGAGAGCAATCGACGTCACCGTTGAGTAATTTAGGTACAAACGTAGCCTATTGCAGCTTTCGTCTTCGATCAATCATTTCAAGGTTAAGCAGACGGCATCTATCGGGATATGCTGAAAGGTTCAAAGGATCACGCCACGGTAGGTTTCTGAGCGCAAGTCGTATGAATCTTTTTTGCACACGCTCGATTCGCACGTTTGCCGTCCCCGCCCAGCCTAATGGGCGAATTGAACAACAAAAACAACCGAAATAACAATGATGCCGCCGACTCCGGTTGGAGGGTTTTGGGCGACAGGAAGGTGTGGAAAGCTGATTGGACGGAGTACGATGCTCGAAAATCGCGACATCTGAGCCAGCAAAAATTGGCTGCAAAGGCTAGTAAGCGGAGGAAGCAGAAAAGGGCCTACCAAAAAATGTTCAACAAAAACAACAACTCACACAATCGTAGCAGAAACAACAACAGCAACAACAAAATCAACCACAACAACTACAACAGAAACAACGACGACTACAACTGCAACACCAATCACACCAACTACAATAGAGACATCTCCAAT